AGAAAAGTCATTCTTCAGATAGAGACAGAGGAAGCCATTTTCAAACCCATTCTTTTTACGACCTTCACTGTGCTGGAGAATAAGATGATCATTTTACTATATTCTTTTTCCTGCCAACAAAAATTAGACTGCCCAGATTATGAGTTCCATTTAAAGTGAATGAAGGCTTTCAGGAGCTCAGGTTTCCCTCCATGGTCAGCCCTGCTGAAATGGCATGTTTTCCTCTGGCATATAGTTTCCTAGCAGTAATCAGGACTAGTGAGACACAAAGCTGTATCAGTGGGTAGAAAAGCAGAAGCAAGTACATAGAACATTAAATGTTCTTAATTATGAATTAATGCATTTCTATAAACGTTGACATCATTTTCACATCTACAAAGTTCAGTCCTGATACATCTGCACTATAGTCCTGCACCTGATGTACACATGAAAAAAGAGCAATGACAACAGCATAGGTTTCAGCTCTCAAACATTACTTAGACATATGCAGGACACACTCAGGCTTGTGCTGTTTCAGCCACAGTGCAACAATAACTACATTCAGCCTGCCTTAAGCTGTCTGGGGCATCTTTCCTCTGTACTGCAGGCACACACTTATCAAGGAAGCCAGACTTGCTGAAAATTCAAGTTCTTGGGTGGCAGATGTGGATCATTCACTGTACCATCCAGAAGTGGTAATAAAAACATGAGACCTTGTAGAAAAAGCTATTAAAAAATTGGAGTACTTTAAACTTCTCCGTTATTTTTCTACCCAAGAAAAGATAAGTATTTAGCATAATATCTGATCAACCAACTTTCAATAGAATAAGACTTAAAATTAACTCTAAATATATGTAGTTTGTATTCTATTTGAAAAGCTACTTTTTCCTTCTTCCAAAGAGCTTCATTTCCCCTGTTGCCAGGCTTTGTGCTTTGCCTCAAGCTAGTCACAATATCCAATTCCTTACAGTTTTGCATTCCTCTCCTCCAGGGGTATTCTTTTGTCAGCTCAGCAAGACCTTTTTCATTATATATTCTCTTTTTTGCTTTCTTTTTCCTCTCAGGCCCTCTTGCTTCTATGCACATATTTACTACATACAAGCACATTTTACATTTTCTCACTATTACTTTCCTAGGATTTCTTTAATCCCATCTATCCCATTTCATAAGGAATAAATCCATGTTGTTTATTTCTCTCCTCATCTCCATGCAGCTGTCAAGTTGTTCTGTCTCTTTTTTCTTTCAGTCATTTTCCTCTTCAGCCTTATATCACCTTCCTCTGCTAACACTATCAAACTGATAAACTGTTTCTTGTGTCCACAGGCTGTGGACAGTTGGGCAGTACTCGTTTCTTCAAAGTTCGCACCCATTCAGGAAATGGGATATCACAAGTGATAACTGACTCAAAGCCCAAGAATTGCCACCTCACAGCTGTTTGAGACCAAGGAGATACCACTGCGGATACAACCTGCTCTTAGGAGATTTAAGAAATTGTGGATGGCAACATTTCATCAATACTAATCCTGACCTTTAAAACAACTGCATTAAAATTTTCCATTCTGATTGATGTAACTTGGGTCACTGCAAATTTCATTTGTTTCAAAAGTGTAATCTCAGTCCTGTGAGGAGTCCTTGGCTATGGTAGTGTGACAGCAGTCATATCCAGACTAATTTCAAAACAGGTGAGGGAGCAGCAGGTGTAAAATCCAGCAGGTCTCACTAGGCAGAACAAAATCAAGAGCTCAGTACTCCTAACCAGTAAAGGAGAAAAACTGGAAAATCAGCTTCTGCAGACAGAGCTTACTTAAATATTATTGGGACATAAGATATATATTGGTCCCAGAGATTTCAAGAACTAGAAGGTACCATAAATTGTAATTACTAACCCTAATGACAGACACACATATGTTTTCCTCTACCTATGTTTATCCTAACAAATCAGCACATAAGCACACAATTATCTCAAGAGCATGAAAGAAGGTTTACAAACTCTGATTTTCCAGGCCAGGGTAGGTGCAGAGAGCAGAGTCACCATTAGGTGAGAGCTACTGGTCTCAGCTCGGCTGGAGAGGAAAGAGAGATGCTATCAAGCAGAGGCAGAGCAGCTCTTCAGACAACAGTAACCAGCAGAAGAAACAGTTTTGAAAAGACAGTTCAGGAGCTGGCTGTGATCTTAACAATTGGTTCTAATGAGCTAGAGTGAACTTTCTCCAGCACGGTTGTGCTTAAAGCTGTTTTTCTGGACAGAGGGCTGATGTCTTGGTCTAATTGAAATAATTCCACATTCCCCTGCCTTGTGTAATTAACTTGGGTTTGGGGTTTTGCAGAGAAGACCGCTATTAAAATCAAGCTGGTTAGTGGTAGCAGTATTGTTTGTATTACTAGAGCACCTCTAAAACCTAGTCATAGCTCAAGATTCTAGTGTCCTGAGGCTGTACTGACAATGAAGAAAAATAATGGACTACACGCTATATGTCACAAGATGGAAGCACTAAATCTTTCTCCAGCTTGCCAACATGGCTCAGCATTTCAAATTTGGTTCTTTGTGGACACAAGATTTCCTGTTGCCCGCTGAACACTAGCCTGGGAACCAACTCACAATGCTGAAATACTACTCATCATCTATCCAGATATGAAGCCACCTTCCTCGGGGCAGGGCCTGCTGCAGGGAGAGGGGGTGACTTGTAGGTACTCGAATGGCTCCCAACAGAGCAATCCTGAGGCAGCTCACTGTCATGAGCTGCCTCATTATGTACTCATCATTACAATGCCTCCTGTGTAACGAGGCAGCCTAGGTCTTGAGAGACCTTATTGACAAAGCAGCTTGCCCAAGATGATCAAAAAACCTCAACAAACCACCTGTGGCAAAGCAGGAACTGAATTTAAATTTTCCTGGTGACCACAGAGCTTAGAGTCTACTATTCTCTGAATGACCTTTCCTTACATCACACTATGTTTGCACGCCATATCCAAAGCCAAGATGCAAATGTTTACACAGCACATCTCATTCCTTCCTTTTTAATAAGACAAGCGTACAGTAGCAGTATGCTAGGAAAAAAATAGTGTAATGTCCCTTTTGTTTTAAAATAAGTCAAGAAGTTTAAGCACCTGGGGAAGAAAAATTAAAATTCCAAGGCCTTGAACACTACAGGGTTTCATAACTTTAGAAAATGACTGAAAACTATCTTAAGACCTTTCTATCTTCTTTATCATGTTTCATCTAAAATAGTCACATCATTTCACAAGTAGCTGCCGTATAGTCATATTAGCACTCGCACTGCTTTTTCTCCACATTTTTTATATAGTAAGCAAAACTTTATTACCTCATTTGAGGAGAAGCTGAAGCCCAAAGAGAACAAATGAAATGTCATGCAGTAAGTGATCTGAGTCTGCAAGAAAGCAACCCAGCATTACAGAAACAACATATGAGCCCTCTGGCTCCTGCATCACGTTTTGTGCTTGGCATGACAGCAGTAGGGACCTTGTGCATGGTCTGCTGGGCTGGGAGATCATCAGTCATAAACAGGCAGCAGGTCTGTCAGTGAACACACCATGAAGCAGAGTTTCAAGCAGCCAGAAAAATATAGTTTGAAAACCAGAAAGGGAAGAGTTGGTTTGAAAGCCAGCAAAATATTCCATTCACAATGATGAGCCCATAATCTGAATTTTCAATGCAGTCTATGAGCTGAGACTGTCCACAGAGGAACATGTGCTAGGTGAGGATGGAGGACTAAATAGTAGCAAGTTGGTCTATTTAGGTCTGTATTTAAGGGAGGACGTAGTAGAAAACAAAGTTTGGTTTTAATCTGGGTGCCTCTCAGATTTTGTTTTTTACATGATTCTCTCCCTACACATAGTTAGTTGTTCCATTCAACTCAAATAATTATTTTCTCTTACTTTTCAATTCAATGATCAAACACTTAACCTCTCTTCTTTGTCCAGTTGCACTCATCTTTGCTTTCTCATGTTGGCTCCACCTACTATTTTTGTTTGCAATTTCTAGAAAAGAAACACTGTAAACTAAACTTTTGGTGAAGACTTCATTCTGTGATTCAAGGAAATAACAGTTCTGGATTAAGCAATCTGACACCTTAGAGTCAGATATAGTGAGCCCTGATCTGAATGCTAGCCCATTCATCTATCTGACTGTTCATTCCAAAAGATAACCACACTGATCATATCAGAAAACATAGCTCAGCAAACATGCTGTGGCTGCATATTTACTAGGAGGCATTTGAAAAAGTTACTTGCACAATCATGCATCATTGGGTATGTGTTCAAGATAAATCACTGTTCATACCTGTCAGTTTATATCCTGTTATCTTTGTCTGCATACTAAGAAGATTTAAAATCTCCAGACCATCCTTTGAATCTAATAACAGGTTAGCAAAAAAACCTGTGAGGCTATGAGAAAAATATTTAACAGATACATTAACATGAATCCTCCATGCAGAAAAACATAATGAAACTATAAGAATATAAATTACTATTCAAAATATTTTGGTATCTATATATTGTAGGTTTCAAACCCAAATATTTTAAAAATATCTGCTCCTTAAAAATGAAACACATCATAACTTAGGTGCAATCTTACTTTTTGTATATTTTCTGCATATAATACTCCAGTGCTTTTGTAAATGAATCCCAGTGATAATGAATCAAACACCATGAAAATAAACACAAAGTAGCTTATAAGGCAAAGTAAGAAGTCATTACTGAGCTAAGCCATTTAATTGGTGAGCATTTCAAAACAAAAGATAAAAGTATTATTTTGTACGTCCAAAAGTTTAAGTTACTTAAAGTAACTCTCCTTTGGAACTGCAGACAAGGAGAGCTCACAGACCGTGAATCCTCTCATCAATTTATGAACTTTCTCCAGTGCTGTTGCTTAGCTTTCAGACCAAGAGGAGCAGGCAGTTTTACAGACCACATTCCACTGCAGACAAGAGGTAAATAAGCTTTATTAACAAGAAAGAAAGAACTTGTTAAGTGCCTACCTTCTCTTCATTTTCTTGGTTCCAGCTCCTCTGCAGTCTTCAGCTTTGCAAAACTCCCCCAGCCTGTGTGACCCCACAACAGACTCTTGAGTGATTCATTGTGGCAAACTTCCTTCTGTTCAGCTTCAGACTTGCTGAGGTGGAAAAAATAGAACAAAGGAAAAAGTAAAGAGTGGAGGCACTGACAGGAGAAACTCAAATCGTCTTAAGAAACGGTGGATCTGGTTAAGGCACGCTGTTCTTTCACCATGACAGAGAGCTAGTTTACTGACTATTGACTTTGCCTGTAGGTCAGTAGGGTGCTAATGCCAGGCAAGGCAAAAGGCATTTTGCCCCTTGATAGGATTTAAAGGTAATCTTCAGGAGAAAGAGTGAACAGTTCTTAGTATTTGGGGGTGTGATTGCTAATCCAGTAATGATGCATGATTGATTTATTAACTGTTTCACTTGCAGAAACAAATGGAAAAATGTTCTGCCAAGAATCTGCCATTCTTTGATAGAGACCACAATGTCTGAATCCCTTTCTTAGAGCAAAGCCATGGCAAATGCTGAGCCTGTGTTTCGCAATGAGGGATTAATTCTGTCTTAATGCATAATCCTGTATGCTCACAGAGGAGAGAGTGCTGCAGAGAATTTTAAAAAAGCAGGCAGAAATATATCTTGTGTGTTATATGCATTTATAGACAAAGAGGAAGAAATATTTCTTCATGCATTTTTTCCCCTGTTATCACATCGTCAGTAGCTAAAGTAAGTACATGTAAAAAGTTAAGCCATTAGTGCTTCCCCTACTTCTTCTCCTCCACCACCACATCCTAATTCCATGTGTGTCATTGCCACAAAAGTGAGCAACTTGCATGTGGTAGGTTACACACTGTAGGTTACTCTTCAACAGGATTATGGGGCCTTGAAGAACACTGGAGCCTCTTACACAAGAAAACATCCTCTGCTCCAAAAGGCTTACAATCCAACCAGTCTCCTCACTGAAGCAGCTGCATTAGCAGCTCAGACAAAAATCATTCATTCAAAGTATTCTCTAAATTCCCATCCTATAGGCATCTATTTTCATTTTGCACTGATACATCTGGGAACAGACTTACTGATTTAGAGTGACCTAAGTACAAGGATCAGAGGCAGAAGTTTCCCCCCCGAAAGGTCAGGTGTGCAACGTCTAGGTGTCATGTACAGGTCCCTTATCACATACAGCATTGAGCCTTTTAAGTTGAATTCATGTCTCACTTTCAGAATTCTTCCCCACTCAGCTATCCTAAATGACATCTATTCCCTGTTATGGCTTTAAAACAACACTGCTTTTGAAATAAGAACTATTAACACTTGCATTATGTCTTCATGCCAGGAGGTCTTCTCTATTTGAATTGTCGGTTTAATTGTTAATTACTTTATGACCTAGATATCTCATAGAACTAGTCGAGATGCAGATCTTGGTTCAAACAATCTGCATTCAGCATATATAGCAAGTGAGACTTCTTAGCTGGCAATAAACAAAATAAGAGAGACTGAAACAGGAGTGAGGAAGGGAACACAGCCTATATGAAAGGCCAAAAGTTGTCTAGGCCCTTAGCCTGATCTATACAGCCAGAACTCTGATCCTGTATGAATCCTACAGCAGCTAAACAACATTGCTGAGCCTTCTACCACATTTTTTCCTCTTCAACTCCTGCCTTCAAATTTAACAGAACATGTGATTAACACTCAAATGCAACCCTCTGCTCTTTACATAGCAAAAAAAATCTCCATTCAGCAGTCCATTTCCTGGATAATGTGAACAGTCAAAGTTGGTCTAAAAGTAGGTGGAGTTGGCCATGAGCTGCACAAGGTGTGCAACCAGTGTGCCATTATAAGAGATCTGCATAGAAACAACTCCTGCAAGCAAGTGAAAAATGGCTAAAGATTAAGATCCTCCCCAAAGCTAGGTCAAACTATTTTTTCTTTTAAATGAATGTCCTAGAAAAGCATTGAGTACAAAGTTGCAAATTGTGTGCAAGAAGAAATGCACTTGCATACTGCTGCTTTCTCAGCAAGTGCTCTCACTTGCACTGTGGGCAGTTTCACTGCTGATGTAAGAGCCCTGCCTAACTCTCTGCACCTCACCTTGCTTTGGCTTGTACTGTGTAATAATTGTGCTTCATCTTCCAAATTAATCTCAATGACTTTTTCAGACAGATTTGGACCTGTCCACTAATAACTCATGAATCCTGCAAGCTGATCTGGGTGTCAGAACATCTACTCAATTAACATATTGGTTTATCTTGGTTAAGTAGCAACCTTAAAAAGCAGGACAGAAATGACAAAATGTCTCAAGACAGCCATGTATCATTAAAAATTACAATAATGGCATAACATCAGGAAGTTTTCCCTCCACTTTGGTCAACTTTATGAACCTGTTTTTGTGCAAAAAAGGGAAAGGTCTACAAATAAAGAGCTATAGGATATCTTGGCAGAGGGAGGCACAGGAGCAGGGCACATTTCAGGTGGAAAAAGATGGCAACTCAGCAAGGGAGCCTGGCATACCACAGTCTAATGACAGGAGCCTCACAGGGTAACAAGTTGAGCCAAGTTAAAAAGTTTATCCTAATAGCCTGGTTTCCCACAAAGTTTATAACCTCCAAACCCGATTACAACCCCACTACATTTTCTTTAGTACAACATTATCTGTCACAAATTAAAGTGATTTACTAGGTATGTAACTACTTTGTAGAAATTCACTAAATTTAAAGAGTGGCTTGATTTTCTTCTTCAGTACAGATAATATCTTTTCCCTTACTTAACTGGTACATATTCAGCACCAGACTAATTTAAAACACCGAGACCTTATCAACTGTGTTTCTCTCTAGTATCCTAAAAATACAGACTCTTCTTCTCCTTTTTTTTTCCATGCTCATAGAAAGTAAAACAGCCTTTCACTTTATTACCTTTTATTTGAAGGCTTCCCACAAATTGCTCCTTCAAGGCCTTTAGTACCTTCAGAGGAAGAAAGTCATAAAAATCCCTTAGCTGTAGTGCCTGATACTTGAAAGTTCATGCTGACTATTGGTATCTTTAGACTGGTAACAGAGTCCCTGGTAGTGCTACCAGGAATCTCAAATACCTAAACACAAAGCATCAAATTAACCAACACAAATATTGTAATTCCTCAACATCACAATATTTAAATGGTGGATCCCAGGACTCATGTCATGTATATTGTACATGATGATTTTATCTTCCTGTATCAGTCCAGTCATAGACTTGGACATGTTATTTCTAACAAAAAAAATCACATAGAAAAAAACTGTCGCAGTCTACTGCCCCAAGAACTGACAAACTGCAGCTGGGTAATTTGCAGTTCACTCTTAGGTCCAAAACCACCTTACACTGACAGGAAGAGAAATTGAGAAGGTTATCTCCCACTGACCTGCCAGTTTCTTCCTTACAGAAAATACTGCATCTTCAGGGGTGAACAGACTTCACACATAAATCTTAACAGCTCTGTAAACATCTGCACGATGGTTCATCAATTACCCTTCCTTGCCTTCTGTCACTAGCAAAGTTTGGGAAGAATTTGTTTGTCTTGCTGGAGAATGACTTTTTCTGGAATAAAAGTCTATACCATTTCTTTGTTCTGCCTCTAGAAAGAGAATGAAGAAACATGGCTAGGTTGTTAATATAATCGATTGCCTTACAAGAGACTTTTTTTTTTTTACTCCATTTTTAGTGAACTTTGCTGAATTTCACTAGCTCCCTAAAGTCTTTCATGTTTGTTATTTCTCAGTGCTTTGAAGCTGTAGCACAATGCAAGACAGGGCAGAGATACTAGAGACACTTCAGCATGAACTGATTCTACAACCAGCCTAGGTCAGTCCCCAGGATGGCTTTTCTTAGCAGCTGGGTATACCGATGTTCTCGGGACAAACCCTACCTTTTTTCCAAAGGGCAACTTTGACTCTGATTGTCATGTCAAGTCTGTCCCTGTATATGAGAAATTATTTCCATTAGCACTAAAGAACAACTGAACTGGAGGCTAGATTTTGTGAGATTCACACAAATCACTCCTCAGCCCTTTCAGGAAGGACTCTTTTTATCCTGATTCTGTACAGCAGTTAAGCAGCCAGCTCACATCACCGTGACCTGCAACAAGGGTTTCTAAGCATAAGAGAAGGGAGGGGTAGAGGGAGAAGGGAGAAACAGAATTATGCACAGAGAACCCTACCTGCTAGTCAGGAAGAAGAGACAAATGGAATGAAAAAGATCCATGACCTAGAGAAGGTTCTCACATTACGATTTGCAAAATGTTACAGCTTTGATCTATAATCCCTGTTCTCCTATTCCTCCTCCTCCTCCTTTTACATCCATGAGCAACTGTTATCTTTTATCTTACTTGGAGCTAGAGCTTCGAGTCTGGGGAGATCAGATCTTTGCAAAGTGCTTTGCTCTTTCATGGTAGCATTAAAAAGGCAGTTTTCCATAACTGCATTTTTCTGTGGGAGCAGGATTCCTCTCCTGAAGCAGCAGCACTAACTCTATTATTATGGAGCACTTCGAGAGTCTGGACTGAAAACAAGTGCAGAGTATCAGTATATACATTTTAAAACCCAAGAGACACTCTTCTCTTATTTTAATGTAACTGATAGAGTTTCAAAAGCTTTTCAAGAATAACTCAAAATCTCTGATCAGTGCTTTTTGTTTTAAAGTTATCAGTGTCCCAAAAAGCAAAAAAAAAAAAAACCAAAACAACAAAAACCCAACAACCCCATGCCTGCAACTGAAATATCATATAAAAATTAACCATTTTTTCCTTAGGATTTACAGAGCCAAATTCTGCTTAATGACTCAACCCAGGCAAACACTAAGAATCAGTGAGTTTGACCCATGGCATTTTATTCTCTGCAACTAACCAGCTAAAGGTCCTGTTTACCAAGACACGCTCATTTCATCTGTGATATGGATACACATCCAAGCATGGCAGAGTGGATGGAAAGATGTAAAGAGAAAAAAAAATTTCTGAGAATCTAGCCGAAATTCAGGAAAGATAATTGATAGTGAGGAGAGTTTTTGTCTGAAGAGGGGCTAAACAAGGTCTCATTTCAAATAAGAAGTTGTAAGATGTTTGATTTCCCTGCTGATTCCTTAATGTTGTGACATTGCAAGTAAGAGGAGAGGTATGCAATGGAAAGGGGCAGTGTTTCCTCTCCTATTACACAGGAGCTATTCAAGAAAGGAAAGAAAGTGAGCTCAGATCTATGCTTCACTGCTCATAGCATTTGCTGACTGGCAAAGAGATACTGAGTGAAAAGGTTTAGGGACATGACATCTGTTGGCAAGGAGGAAGTTCATCATCTGCATCCCTTGCAGCTGCTGATACTTGGGCAACACACTCCTATTCTAATGTCAGTGGTCTAAATGAGGGCCATACTCTGACAGTTTAATCCCAGGAAATCTCTGCGGAATTATTAGCAAGGCTCTGACTTCCACAGCAACTGTACACTGTTCCTCAAGCACAGACAAGATTCACTAGCTTCCTATTCAGGCAGTGGAGAGTCTGCTAAAACCCTGGTGCAAACTTACTTTTAAGACAGATCTGTTTACATCTGATCACCACTACCATGAGCTTTCAGTGAACAGAAAAATATTGCCCAGTTCCTCAAGTGATTAGAGCTGGGCTATTGTCAGTAATAATTATTAAATGCAGCAAAATGCCACCTTGGTACCGAATAAAAATACTCAGAATACATGAAAATACTACAACAGCATTTCATCTTCTCTTCTACTGGCTGGAAAGCTAACATCTGTTCAGCTTTCTGAGTCTCTTGTGGATACAATAATTTTATAAACTGGAAAATTTGTTCATGACTCATCTGCCTGTATTACCAAGTGAATTTTTTAGTCCAACATCCAGACATCCATTATGTGGGCTGCTAAATGATTTACACTGATTGAACATGCATGGTATGCAGTTCTCGCAAATTTTATATGCTAGCTGTATGGAAGCTGAATGCTTGCTGATTATGCTCCAAATAGCAATGAACCCAATTACCTAAGCCACTAACTCCCAGCATGGAAACCAGAAAAGCAGCTGTTGCTTAGGTACCTTAAAGAAATGTTTGCTGTTTCTAATTTAACAATTGTAATTTGAAGTAAATGGGAGATTCACATTAGTGAAGAACACACTCATTCGTTCAAAATCACCTCTTTTAATAGTTGTTTTCAATTCTTTATGCTCCATAGCTTGTATTCCAGCGTAAGGCCTTACCCCACACCTGGGGAAGCAGACAAGAATCCAGCTACTGAGCAACTTCTGAGATGAAGCCACCAAGGTGAGAAGCCTGGAAAAAAAAAAAAAGGTAAATTTCAGGGAGAAACATAAGGACACTTCTGAATCATCCTGGGGTGAAAAACTGACTTGTATCATCCAGATAGCCAAAATGAACTTTGTTATGAGGAACGGGTACCAATGACTGCAGAAGAATCACTAAAAAAAAAAAAAAAAATAAATATTTTGGCTGAAAGCAACATGTGGAGGTCACTTAGTCCAAATGCTTTTTCACACAGGGCCAACTTCACAGTAGATATTGAGATCTTGGGCCTTGTCCACTCGAGGTTCAGTGTGGATTGAGTGATCATGTCTCTGGCTCTGTTTCCAGTGTTCTGCCACCCTCACAGGGAGGACTTTTTTCCCCACATCAAAATGGAATTTCTCTCCTTGCAACATTTCACTGTTGCCCCTTATCCCTTCATTACACACCTCTGGGCACACCAGCTTTGTACCTGGTGACAGAGCGGAACCACCACCATAGGTGCTCCATGCAGAGTAGTGACAGCAGCACACCTGGGGTACAGGTGCAAGCCCAAAGGGACATCACCACCAGAGAAAGCAGCTGCAGTTCTATAGACTGGGAGCAGCTAGAAATTTAGCCAAGAGCCTCATTTAATAGCTTATATTGCATTTCTGAGCTCTGACGCACATGCAATTGACTGACGTCACCACACAGCTCTGCATCCACAGTGCTGCTGAGTCTGTGCTTCAGGGAAGGACTTAAAGCTAGGACTGGAATAACAGGAAAATCAGGGGAGGAGGAAGAATGATTTTATTCCTTTGAGCTCACAAAGCACCTGTCATACAAAACACTTCTTTCTTTTCAGGAGCACAAAAGTCACAGTGTGTATCACAGAATTAAATGAAAAAGCCAGAAATTACCAGTGTGACTGAAATCAGAGCCCTCTCCTCTTGTTCACCAAGCACATTATGAAGACCAATGGTTAAGTGGCTTTCCATTCCAATCAATAATTAAATTGCTGTCTATAGTCAGTAAGGTTTCAGCTCCTGTTCCAGACTCCTAGGTATACCCCCAAGTATATTTGCCATGAAAAACATGAGGAGGGAGGCACCCCCTCACTCATCACACTGGTACATGGCTCAGGAGACTCAGTACGGGTGTAATCTCATCAGTTTAGCAATACAACTGATCCAAATTTAAAAAAAAAAAAATAAATAAATAAATAAATCTCTATTTAAATAAACCTTTGTATGTGTGGATCTTTTGTCTTCCAAAATTCTTGAATAATTTATTAGATATTAATGGATATGGTTTAACCATACTGTGAAATCTAAGATGGCTGCCTATATCTATCTGTAGGGTTGGGGAATGGCAAATTCAAGTTTCCCAGTTAGCAAAATTACAGCTCCAATTGCACAGAATTAGACAAAACAGAAAGAAATTAATTATAAAACTCCTCTTCACAAATGCAATTTGAGGATTCAATTAATATCCCTTTCTCGCTGGAAAGAAAGATAAGATTCTTTGGAGGATCATTCTGGAGACCAGTTTATCTGCCCATTCTCTTTCCTGCTCTACATTTTTCAGACTACTTTGTACAGTGGCTAAAAGGGAGGATATGAACAGATGGCTGTTTGCACTGATAACTCTGTCTGCTCTTAGTCAGGTTAATTGGTTACAACCCAGTTAAAGATTACAGTCTGGTAAAATGATACAGACAGTCCTTCAGTTACTCTTCACAAAAAATAAAATAAATTGCTAAGAATGAAAATGGAGTTTCAATACATGCTAGGGATTGTGCAAAACACTGCTGTACAGTATTCACCCTTCCACACTACAGCTTTAAAGAGTATAAAATTTACAGGAACATGAAGGTCAAATGGAGGTTTAAAGACACGTTCTGGAGGATCAACAAATCCTAGGATCTTTGACAGAACAGTATCAGTGTCATGATTACTTTTTATTTATCCAGGCCTTTGGCATCAAGCTGCTCATGAGACTTAGGCACCGAGTAGTATCTAATTTCATACCTCTTCCGATTATGCTGAAAAGAGATTCCCCTTCAAACAACTGGGAATGTGCCAGAAGACTGCAGCATTGTACTGATACTCACTGAAGAAGAGATTGGGTTGACCTCAGTAATTATAATCCTCAATGTGTGGTAAGATAATGGCAAAAAACATGCAATGCAATCAATAAGGGATGAAAGGATGGAAACATAAGTAGGGCTGGCCTATCCGCTTATATGGAAAATAGACACCAACTCACAAACCTGATTGCACTCTCTGAGCCTGTGAGATTGATTATTAATGATTATCATGAAAGTGTAAAAAATTCCATAGAGCCCTTGACACAGTGCTGCAGGGTACTCCACTTTAAAAGGCAGCTCTTATCCAACACCAATGAAAGCACAACATATGGATTAAAAATTGGCTAACTGTCAAACTCACAAAGATAGTGGGGAAACTTGATCAACTGAGTAAGTTTCTAGCGGGGTTCTGCAGGGTTTCATTCTGGGTACACAGATCATAAAAATAGGTTTTTCCCTCCCTCTTCTGTGAAACAGAACTGTACATAACACACGTACATGTTTGTATGTGTGATATATACACATGTGTGTATCATACTGAGACTGACAAAGAGTAGAAGAACTTGATAATAACTAAATTCAACTCAAGTAACACGTAGCACTCAAGCAAACACAATGCAATAAATGTAAGAACAGCAAACACCAGCCTCACAAGACAACAGCGTATTCTATAAAACAAAGAACTTGAAAAAATTTGGGTTTACACAAAAATAAGACACTATATACATATCTGAGGAAATAAAATGAGCATGTACAGTCTGCATTTTTGCACCGTGCTGTAGGGGAGGGGAGCAGAGAAGAGAAGCTTGTTTCTCAGGTCTTTGATTAAGAACTTGGGAGGAGGTAGAAAGAGACACAAAGAAAAGGTGAGAGCTCAAGAAAATACTTTTCAGGAGAGGCCTATGGAGCTCCAGCTGTTTGGGCTATCAAAAGGAAGACAAAGAGATTACTCGGCTACAGGATATAAATCCTCCAAAAGGAGAAAATAAAAATTATTAGAGAGATGATTAACATGGCAAAGAAAGACACGCACACGCACAAAACCCCACTGGTTCAAGCTAAGAAAATTGTGAAATCAGACAAAATTGTAATCTACAAGGTGATTAACCAGAGAAGTAAAGTACCCTGGGGGAAGACTTTTAATCTTTGCTTGGTGTTTCCAAACCAAGACTGGATGTCTTCATGGAGAACAGAAGCTTTAGTCTGATTCTTCAGATCAAGGGGAAAACAAAATTGAAATTCTGCCAAAAGCACCAGTTTTCAGCCTGTGGTGCACACCTGTAGTTTACTTCAGAAGTTGCAGGATCTTGCTCACAGTGCCGAGATCCAGGTCTTTTATCAGTCACCAATACTCCCTAACATTCATCTTCTCTCACCACCAAGTCTCGGGTTTCTTTATACCTTCTCCTTTAAGCAGGCTGGTGAGTAGGCATGACCATTTTTTAATGCATATAACGAGAGAAAAAAGTAACATTTTCAAGCAGAAATCTAAAACCCCAGGGAAAGGCACGTGAACCACGTGACGAATAGCTGTAACACAGATTCTTATCCGCGCTCCATCCCAGCCTCATCTCTTACTCTGATATTAAAAGACACACAGCCCGTGCCATGCCAGCCCGTGTGCCCCACACTCGCTGCCTCTCGAGTGAAACCCCTGCACTCAGCTGCCCTCACACGGCCCGGCCGCGGGCAGCGCGAAAATGGCCCCCGGCCACCGGCGCGGCCCTTGGCCCGCGAGAGGCCTCTGGCGCCACCCAGCGGCTCCCTGGGGCCGCCGCCGCCCCGGGCCGTGAAGGGGTCCCCGGGCTTTCCCCCCGCCCCGCCACAAACAAACAGCGTTTTCTTCGCAGTACCTCGCCAACAGCCGACTAAATCCCCTTTGGACGCATTTATACCACAGCGGCAAAGCCCCACTCGCTACCCAAGGCCAGCGGGGATAGAGCTCAGCTGCATCCCTGCAGCCCCCTGCCACCCCCACCCTTCTCCGGGCGGGTTAATTAACCCTTCTCCGGGCTCCTCTCTCCCCTTAACGAGCAAGAGGAGAAAAAGCTCTAAAGTGTTCTCTAAAGAGCTCCGTGAATGCAGTCTGCTAGCGGGAAGCGATGCGAAATGGCCGCCTTTGCTGGCTTTTCGTGACCTTTCTCATTGCCCAGGCTACAGTCGCCCATCGCGGCTCGTCAGGGCATCGGTGCCAGGGCGGCTAACGGGGTTGTGTTTGCGGGATGCAGGTTGCAAAGTTTGCGTGTTGCTAAGCCTAAAGCAACCAACCCAGGTTGTTTTTTGGTTTTTTGTTTGGTTGGTTGGGTTGTTTGTTTGGGGTTTTGTTTTGGTTGGGGAGGGGTTGGTTTTTTTGTGTGTGGGTTAGGGTTTTTTTCCCCGGATTCCCCCTTCTGTCAAATCAATCCACAGAGCAAATATTCATTGAGGGAAAACATTTTTAGTTCTAGCCCGCAACCCGACTTTGACAAAAAAGTCAAAGGCAGCCTCTCCTCTGCCCCCAGCTGTGAGATCTAGACCTGCGAATTTACTATTAATTAAAAAAAAAAATGCAATTTTATTCTAAGAATTGCTGCCAAAGCTTAGTGGTAGGACCACACTGAAGTGGGTGCACCAAAGAGACACAATAGTATCTTCAGATGTCCTTGGATGCATTGCCTTCTTTAACCACTTAACTGATATAATGAGGTAAATGAAAGCATATGTGGTTTTTTTATATCACAGAGCTGCTGCTCACAGTAGGTGAACTAACTCAGTTTTTAATGCAATGTCTCAACCCCTTGAGTCTCAACACCTGAAGGAACTAAGCTATAAAATCTAATGATGGCTAACCTGCAGACTTCAATCTTGGTCTAAATGGACTCCTGTTCTCTGTCTTTTCCACTCAAAAAGTGCACCATTCCCCCTGTCCCTTCCTGGAGCACTCTCAGTCCCCATGCTGCTTCCCCACCTGCAGCACCAGTAAGTCATACCCTTACTTCCTGCTCTTATTTCTCCCCACCACTACATACTTCTACCATCTTATGCTACAGCATCACTTTGGCATAGTTTTGTTTATGTCTTGTTTTGATAGCAATGAACTGATAGTTATTCACATGGAAAACAACATCTCAGTGTTTACCAGTTCTTTGTTTCATATGTCCTGTAATTTTTTTATTACAAGGTATTTTTTTTTGGTTACCTGCAAAACGATATGATAATTTAATTGTATTATTTTCCTCAGACCTTCTCAAAGCCTTTGGCTTTTTAGAATCCTCTTTCTAAATCCTGAAAATAGCATTTTTCTTAGCATTTCTGTTTACTACTTGTTTTTTGAACTCTGCAAGTATTTTCCCTTTGAAGAGGGGAATGAAAATACATGTTCCAGAGTAGTCTTCTTTTGTCCATCTCAAGGGACACCACCAGGGATATCTGTGAAGCATTTTTTGAATACCTATTTTTCTATTAGCTTTTTTGCATCAATGACCCAACTACAACTGGCAAAGGAGCAATCAGGTCTCTCCCTTGCAAATTGCTGTTAATGGGCACACATACCTTATACCCACATGAAATATTGCTTGGTGGGCTGTGTGGGTGGACCTGAGCCTGTATTCCTGCAAATACTTGAGGGCACAACCTAGTCACATCCTTACACTTAGGTGTTGTATTAAGACACACTTGAGATAAGCATACATTTCAGCTGATTTTTTTGTCTCAGTTTTACACCCCTTAAAGAGTATTGACCACTCATTTAGTGGTTGTCACTTTGGTGCTGGAGAGTTCTGCTGGATACTGTCTCAGTACACATTAAGCAACAGTAAGTAATAAATTTAGGCATGGAAGCCTGACGGGTAAGGTTTCACTGGAGGTAGGACACAAAATATCATGTCCTACATACATAAGAGAAAGGGTGAAAAGAGAAGGCTTGAAAAGGTGTTTTTCAGTTATGATTACTTTGTGGAAAACAAAGGTGGGTTTGAGTTTTATACATGTCTGATTTTCAGAATTCCTAAGTGTAGCCAGAGGAAGCTGAGACTCCTACATATCTGCAAGCCCGTCTGCAAGAGCAGTAGCACTGTGTTCCAGCGCTGAACTTGTTGTTCTTAATGCTGGTTTAGAGATGGAGATCGGGATCTTGATTTCACTTAATACATGACTGACAGTGCCGTTTTAACATGAAAATCCTCCATCCACATGCTTTTAAGGAATGAGGAGCCAGAGCCTGTCAGGTGGATTAGCCATATGTCAACTCCCCAGTGCACTACAGCAGAGCCATCATTAATCTGAAAACTTGATCTTGAGCCAAAGGGAACAATTATATAACCCAGATATCTGTAAGGTGAATGGTACAAAAACAAGCAAGAAAGAACAATCATTCTTACATACACATGTGTACGTTTTACTAGAACTCTTAGGCAATCAAGATTGTCATATAATTGGCTTTTTTAAAATTACAAAAATGATGGAAGGGTTGCAGTAATTAAAAAGTGCAGGCAAGACGTTGAAAGGTGATAAATTACATAAAGCCAAAGTGCAAATGAAGCAAAATCTTTACAAGTATTTATTTGCTTCTCCAGAATTTAGATAATTTGTGTATTTGCTGTTTGCCTGTTCCATTGACAAGCCAGTGTGACAGATAGTCAGAGGGACAGATAGCTTTCAGAATGACCTGAGTTACCAGAGCAGAAGATTGCTTTTAAAATTGGTGTCATGCCCCAGAAAAGCCACAGGAGTGAAGCTCTTCACCAAGATAGATTGCATGGGCAAGTTCTATGGCACACGCCTCAATTATCATGAACGTCCAAAGCAAACTTTGGAAAAGTGACAACAGACGAAAAAGGTCCACTAGCATTATTCCTCCCACACGGTTAAAGGAGATGAATGTGCAATTAATTCAAGGTTATTTATTAGGACAGCGCCTAGGGCCCCTCAAGGTGGGGCCTTATTATGTTAGGCAGGTAAAAGCAGAACAAGCCTCTGCCCCAAAAAGACTTATACAAGTATATTTCCTTGTACAAGGATAAAATATAAGCTCAATGAACTAGGTGTCAAAGGAACTTTAAGATTATACTCCAAAACATGCTGGAAATTATTCTAGGAGGAAAGTGTCTGCCTAGGTAGTTCAAAATGCCAACCTTTTCATACTGCCCCAGAGCCATCCTCCAGAGATCTGCCACAGAAGTAGTAGTCAGTGTCAAATCCCACAGGAAGGTCTGCAGTCTGTAGTAAACCCCTAGGACCTGCCTGATTCTCAGGGTTGATTTTCCACAGAATTACTTGGGAAGGTAATGGTCCCCCTTCTTCAAGGGTCCTGGTAGCAAGTCTCCAAACCGGTATGCAGTTTAATACCCGACATCTGGACATATGCTCTTGTACCTGTTGACTCCTGAGTATTATTTGCAACATACGGTTTGCAACCAATTTATTTGTATTTTGCAGCTTCCTTGGATTTTATTTTCTCTCTGTGTCTTTTTTTTTTTTTTAATTTTGCCCACCCAAAGATGCCCCAGGTTGCACAGCCTTCTAGCATTTTAGATGCACATTTCTGAATTTACTGGTGCATGGGACTGCTCCTCACTGGCATGGGCAAATTCTTTATGTTAAGTAATGCTAATAAGAATATTTGCTATTTTTCTGTTATTTTCTATCTTCAAAATGTTAAATTAACTATCTAAGCTGCTAGAAAAGCTTTTCTGTAGCAGCATTTCAGATTTCACAAAGCCACCCATTTACTCTGTGCCCAAACTCTCAAGACTGCAGTGCAGATGCAATGGTAACCTATAGCAGAGAAATGTCAGACCTGACTTAACCTCCACTTCAGCACATGTGTGTGTATACACAGCCCTTTAAGGTAGATGTGTGAGTCGTCCAGCTGAGGTCACAAACAGTGGACACTATAACTGGGGGGGAGCAGTTATATATGATGTGTAAAGAGTGATTTCAATAAGACTAACCTTTTGTTTGGATTAAGAGACCACAAGGAAACAACCCAGGCAAAAGAGTATTTGAGAGAGTGTTGCACACAACTTTGTCTGTATTAGCCTGTTCGGATCTGGAGGCAAAATGGCTGTCAGGCTTTCTTGCCAACTTTGACATTAACAGGAGGCAGGGAAGCCAAGGGATTGCGTGCTGGCCTTGAAGTGAGAAAGCCTGAGCCCTGCAAGCTGCTGGTTGATTGACACAAGACGTACTTCACTTCCCAGTGC